TAGTGATGCGAATCCACAGGAGGTGATGTTTCTTGCAGCGTTGGGGAAACTTCTTTGCCAAACATCTAATTATTTTACACTGGAGTGAGTTGAATGACAACCAGTAAATCCTGGGAGGAAATATAGCTTAGCAAAGTAGAACATAAAGTACTTTGAACTTATTTGTTTTAAAAAAAAAGTGATGAATCGATAAATATTCATCACTTTTTACTCCCTGGAGTAAAGGAGACGGTCTATACGAAATAATAACTAAATGGAGAAAAAGTCACATGCTTCAAAAAAGGGAAGGAATGCCCATTTGCTCACTGGTTGACAGGCATGTGCCGTATCATATTTATATCATAATATAAATGTATGATACCATGATGACATAAATGATGTAGCAATGCCTTTTAATTACACTTCCCAGCAGGCAAAACAAGGAGACTAGTCTGACAAAACACAATAATATAAAAGCGTAAAACAGATTAACTTCACCAAAACACACCAAGTACAGCCAGGCTAATAAAAAGGAGACACTTGTAGTAAAAAGGAAGAGCAAATGCTGCCTGGATGTTACTGATGGAGTTTCATGGTGGAAAAGGAGGGCTTTAAGTAACTAGTTTAAAAGCTTGAACCAAGATACAACGTCCCAGACAGCTTTATTATGTAATAATACCGTGCAGCTCCTGAAGACTTACAAGGCTAAGTCAATTTTAAGTGTCAAGCACTTATGTTATTCTTTTGTTCTTACATTTGATTTATGCTATTTATGTAATGCTGCTGCTGTAAATAAAGTCACACTTCATCTGGGTTGCCAGACCATAAGTCTGGAAAAGAAAGATGCAAAATGTGCTTAGTTTGGTTTGCACTAACAGATGCTGCTGTCTGCAAGGTCCAGTCACAAACTAGAGTAAATAGTATAATGTAATATAATGTTTTTTTTCTATATCATCATAAATGCAGTGCATACCACAAACTTTCTTGAAATATTGCATTATTTCTTATAACTTTGAGGATATATTGCTGACCTGGTCACAACTGACTGCTAAATTACGCTGGAATAAAATATTAAACACTTACCATATGTGGAGCACAGATTTTAATGAATGGCTGTGCATTGAATGCATTGTCTGGGTGTGTCTTCTCTGAGGTCGGTATCAAAGACAAAAATGTTACGGCACTTATAAGAGGAGTGTCCGACGTGGGTAATTTGGTCAGTGTTCTTTTGTTCAGATTTCCAGTTGAACCTCTTAAAATGTGGATGTTGAGGCGTTGATGTTGATAGTGATAAATGCCAGTCATCTAGTGTCGCACATGAGGTTGTGGATATTTATGAATCTCAAAAGCTTATATGTTAATAATGCCGTTGATCCCCTGACTTTTCCTATGGTGAAATTTCCTGAGTATAAGTGGATGACATACCATAAAATTTGCAACACTTATTCAAGCTTGCCAGCTGTCTGTCTGCTTTTTAATCTTGACATTTTACCTAAAACCGCTGTTGTGCCTGCAGCCTCACAAAGCTCATCAGACCTTGTCAAGAACTGTATACTAAGCCATACATTTTACCTGGATTTGTACAATATGCTATACCTTCTGAAAGCGTTCCCATGCAGTAGATATAAAACATGTTGAGCACGCTCATATGACTTCTCATTGCGCCAGCGTGCATCAAAGTTTTACATGGTGCTATTATCTGCAGGCGAAACACTGGGAGGTAATGAGGAAAACGGCACTGAATGATAGCACATTAATATTTAATCAGGATGGCGAACTTGACAAACTCACAAATATCACTATGAAAATATTTTATTTGATAATTCAAAGGAGTTTTTGATGGGTACAGAGTTGTGACTGAAGTATAATAACATGGGAAATTAAGACTGAAATGAGAGCAGAAGCGTGTTTGAAAAGATTTGCGTGTGTGACAGAGGCTCTTTATTTTTACTCTGTTCCCTCTTAAGAAGCATCACAGTAAGGTGATGGTGCTGGTGGGGGAAAGAGCCTGCAACACCAGTGGAATAGCTGAAGGGAGAGGTCTGACTCCCCCGTCCCTCCCAGCTGTGCACACACCTACCTTATTCCATTATACTTTACATACGTTTTATACGTTCTTCTCTTTGAAGGAGGACAAAATCCCTTTTGAAGATATTTTAAAATAATGAAAAAAGCAATCGCATACATAAGAGGAAAAAGAAGAAAGAGCAGAGGTCTTACTTGCTTACTTTGAAGATAACTGGGATCGTAAAGAATACTTATTAGAAAGACGAAGGATTTCAGAGATTCTTTAATAATGAGCGGTGAGGGATGGAAGTATTTTTTTTTTTTTATTAATTTTTTTAAATTCAAGGGGAAATATTTTTTCAGAGAGGTAGCGGCGTAATCCTGATGGGGGGTAAAAGCACAGAGAGAGTGAGGGAGTTAATGCAAACAGTATTTCATCATGTTCTTCAAACATCAGCCTGTCCATCACAGTTTCAGCAGACTTTCTTTCTCACTCTGTGTTCTTTCTTTTTTGTGTCATTCTCCTTTCTGTGAAAAACTGTGTCCAAGACGGTGCCAGCATTTAGAAAAAGAAAAAAACAACTCCCCCGCCCATTCTACCCTTACTTTCCTTCTCTCATCCCTTGACTGCCTCCTCTGACTTCATATCTTTCCTTGCTCCACTTTTAATATTCTCCCCTTTCTACCTCTGTTCCTTTCCTATCCTGCTTTTGAACAGTGAATCCGCCACCATGTCTGCTGCTGAGGCCACATCTAAAGGCACACAGGGATAGCGAGAAGAGGAAGAGACGCAGAGAGACAGACATACACCTCTGTTTTCAAGCTCACACATTTCCAGCAGCCATAATTACCTTATGCAAATAAGATCATGAAGTAAACCATATCATCCTGCTGGGCGACAACATATAAGGTGCCAAAAACCAAATTCAGGGGCTTATTTAATTAGAACAGAGGCGATGAGAGAGATGCAACATTCACCTGCCTGTAAGTTTATATGCAGGGGTGCACATAAGTGGTCCGCAGGTGCGCATTCAATGTCAAAATAAAAGACGCGCACCAGATAAGAAGTTGCAAGGCGCGTTGGCGTACATATAAAAGGCACTGTTTTTGTCCGCTAGAGTGGGATGTTCACGGCATATTCTGCTCCACATCTCTGTGCGTTCATCATTTGTTTGAAGCCAGCTCACCTTCTGCAACCACTTTTCCGAGAATACGCGCTTCTTTTGTGGATCGGACTCCTTCTGATAGTTCTTTGGAGGTGGAGGAACACCAAAGTAATTGCTTAAAGGAGCTTCTTCGACATCTTTAAGAGTTCTAAACAAATGTCTGTCCTCCTCCAGAAAATCTTATGTACGCAATCGCACGTTGCAACTTCTTATCTGGTGCGCGTCTTTTATTTTGACAGCGAATGCGCACCTGCGGACCACTTATGTGCACCCCTGTTTATGTGACAGTTTTAATCATAAATGTATAGCCACAATCTAACTTCCTATTGGCCTGAATCAAGGTGACAGCTACGGTTCCTGATACGTTTACCTGTAATCTGCCGATGTGGAATAGAAATAGGTGTATATTTGAAATTGCGTGATTATACTGGGGTGTACCAAGCAAATTGATATAAGTCTGGACCAAGATGGTCTGTCCCCACCTTTTTTCTAAATTATTGCCATTTTTGAAAATAGCCTCATTAGTTTTTCACAGCAAAGCAGCAGAAACCTGTGAAGTTTTACATGCCACGCAGTGCAGCAGTGTTTGAAGCTCAGTGTGTGACACTGTTTAATGATGAGCTTTAAGAACAGTGTGCATTTGGTCCAACATGGCTCTAAAACCGTATAGTGCACCCTAGAATTTTATTTCAAATCAAATTATGGGGAGGAAAGAGAGACTCGGTTTGTCTTTGCTGGATTTTATGTTAAGTTGTGCTATATACAGAGCATGACTTCTGTACAAGTTCAGAAATTCTAAGTAATTTGCACAACAATCTGTGGTAATTGGACATTCGAGTGAATTTCATTTTTATTTTAAGCATAAAATACAGCCACATTAAAAAGAGGGTTTTAAAGCACTCTGTGCAGTCCTGTGAAAAAGAAGTACATCATTGTTGCTTCCATAGGAATTAAGATAAATAGCAGCCAGGTGTACAATACCACAATATACCCAGGTGTGGACGTACAAGCAAAGGCACCATTGGAAAAAAGACTTGTTTGGTCAAAGTTTCAATGGCCTAGTCAGCATCCACATGTGGCGCTCTTCCACATTGTTTCCTTTATCCCGTCTACCTCCCTTACCCCCAACCGGTTGTGGCAGATGGCTGCCTCCTTATTGTAGGGTCTTTACCTTCAAATATAAAGCGCCTCGAAGTGACTGCTGTTGTGATTTGGTGCTATATAAATAAAACTGAATTGAATTCCCGAGGCTGCTTCTACTGAAGGTGTGTTCCTGTTAAAAAGGAGTTTTCCCATTATCCTCAAGTGCTTACTCATGGCAGGCCATCTGATTGTTGGGGTTTTCTCTCAGTTATTGTAGGGTCTTTAGCTCACGGGGCCTTGAGGTGACTCTTGTGATGTGGCGATATGATACGATGAAAAGAAGAAGGGAAAAATAACGGAAAGGGGAAAATGAAAAGAAAATTAATTCCTGTGGCAGGACCATAAGAGAGCAGTGCAAAAACATCAATGAACTGAAGCAATGTTGTAAATACAAGTGGGCCAAAATTCTTCCACAACAATAAAGTCATACAGGAAACAATTACATCATGCTGTTGCTGCTAAAGGTGGTTCCACAAGCTGTTGAAACTATAAATTTCTGTAATGTAATATTAGAAATTGAAAAACTACAAACCATCTCCATTATACAGCAAAAACCATAAATTAAAGCCAAGCAGCCAAACTGCTAAGAGACCCACAGTGCCTGTACTTTTTCGTATACCACTACTCCTTCTTCTGCTGTTGAAGTCTAAAGCAGCCCCTGGAACCATGAGGGTAAAAATGTGAAATTTATTTTCCTTCTCACAGGCTGATCCAAAGGAGCTGATTCGATTGGTCACACAGCACGTGTCCTCGTATTCAGATTGGCCCGAGGAGCTGCAAAAGCTGATCAGCCAGCTGCATATGTACAACGAGCGTCTGACAGACTTTACCCAGGCACAGGTGTTGCAGGGGCTCGGCCGTGGTGTGGACGTTCAGCGGTTCAGCTCTGACGCTGATTACAAGAAGGAGACCATACTTGGTCTCACAGAGTAAGTGTGGCTTAAATGTTGGTACTTTTGGATTTGCACTGTAATTGGAAAGGTGCACTTTTTTTTTTTTTCCTTTTCTTTGTTTCTACTCTGAAAGATTGTTCATACCACACACTTGGACATGAGTGGGAGATAATGTCAATTTCTGCTTTAATTAAATGAAATCTAAAGACTTTCTTTCTGTTTTTGTACCTGTGTGTTTAGGACACTGGATGATGGTGTGTACAGAATCGCTTTGTCTCTGGCTAAGCGCTACAGTGTTCCTCTGTGGGAGGTCTACATGACCCACCTCGAGTTCCTCTTTACAGATAGCGGGTATACACACACACACAAACGTGTTTAATTACATTTGTGCACACACATCTGTCTGTCTCTTTGTTTTCATCTTCAGATTTTAAACTCTGAAAAGTGTAGCAACGCTCCCTTTCAGTTATAACAAAACTTACCTATATAAAAAGCCAAAACACCGCAGGCTATATCAAACATGTTGGGAATATGTGTGTTTGTGTTTTGTGAGTGAGAGGATGTGAACCATCATTTATTTGCTCTCTGACTTCATAGCTGGGTGACTGACTAGCTCTGCACCTTTGCTTGTTTTTACAGAATGCCAAAGCTGAGGTTGTGTATGTGTGTGTTGGTACGTGTGCACACGTGTGGCTCCGTGATAAATATCCACCTGTCACATTCCGATATAAGGAAATGGTTTATGGATTCCACTTAACAATAAATTACAGCCTATACTTTTCTCAAACCTGATCACAGCTATTCTGTGTGTGTGTTTCCTTCAAAACCTCAAAATCATGACAAATGTGTGAGGAATATTCTGCATCTGCAAAAGGCTTATTGATTTAACAAAAGGATGCAGGGAATGTTATAAATAGAGAAGAAATTTAAAGGGAAGAATAAATAGAGTCAAAACGTGTGCAAAAAGAATTTAGACTTTTATTGATCGTTGTAGGCAAATAAATTGTTTATGTTTTACAAATCCCACATGTTTAGGAGAAGCAGTCAGCTACAGTGCAGTGCCCAACAACTGAGTCCTTTGCTGTATTTAAGTAGCATGGTTCACTTTACTGGGCTAACAGTTGACCTCATTGCCAGTTTGCATATCAACACTTTAAACAGTACTTTAAATAGTACAGTGCCGTGCAGAAGACTTGAATCACCCCTCATTTCTTTGTGTTTTGCTTCTAAGTTGCCTTTTATGTGTTTTTTTTTTAAAGTGGTCTTGAGCAGTTCTCCAGGTTTTCTGAAGGTCTTTCAAAGATTTTCTTTAAACATTTATGTATCTTAGCCTGGTGTCCTTAAAAAGAATTTGCGGAAACTGAACAAGTATAAGACAAAAAGAGGAGGTAGCAGGCTTAAAAACATTATCATAATACGATAACAGTAGCTGATCTTTGAGTCCATGACCTGATCGGCACTGTATATTATCTGGGACGGAAAGGGTAAGGTTGTCAACAAACTTTTTTCCTAAGAAAAAAACCCAACAGCTACAAGTAGGTTGGGGTTTGAAGCCTGTCACCTTTTAAAGTTTCCCTCAGAAACAATCATGAAATGGAATCTGTTTCTCCATTAGAGATACCACACATTACTGTCTTTCAGAAGAGCTGGCAATTTTCCTTTCCCATGTGATGGCGGGGTAAATTGTTAAAATCACATTTTTTCGCTGACATAGATCAACGCTCTAAAGTCAATGTAGATCTCAATATGGTTACAGAAGAACAAAGTTAAAAATCCATAAGTATATTTCAGATGAAGAGAACTCTAAGGACTCATTATTAGTTTAAAGCACATCCACAGAATCAGTGTGTGCTTAGGGGGTGAGAGTGGGAGGCAAATAGATGGCGGGAGAAGAGATGGATGATAGAGAATGAGTGTCCCTGAGACAGTCCTATTAACACAAAATGTATGCTTCAGAAGAATCAATGTGCTGCTAAACACTGCCGTCGTCAGCTGTTCTCTGCCTCCGTGTATAAAGCTTTGTAGATGTTTACAAGTTCTCTTTATGGACCTGCTTTTTAATGACATCCTAATGACAGCTATAAATCTATCGAAGAGACTTGTCCAAACACAGAAATGGGTTCACATATTGGTCAGTGGAACCATCTGTTTACAGTTTTGGCTTTAAATCTCATGTCTAGCTCCACCTTTACATATTTGTTTCACATAATGACAACTTTTTCAAATATTCATGATTTGGTCTGTTGAAAAAAAAAAAAAGACTCATCTTGATCCAAGCCAACTGAATTTGTGAAGCACTTTAAAAACTGCAACCGCTGACCAAAGTGCCAAACATAGGAATAAAGATCACTACAACTAAAATACAAATAAAATTAAAAAAATATAAAATAAAAACAATAAAACACAGAGCACAATTAAATATGAGTGAATCAATAAAATCAACATTTCAAAGTAGTTTGAAAGATGAGCAGAAGAGGTGTCTCTGAGGAGCGGATTTAAAAATTATGAAAGCCCTATGAACTCCCATCACTGATACCACTTATGTGTACTTGACTGTTTCAGATCTTCATATTGAGATTCAGTTTTTGAATTTCAGGTAGATTAATAAAACTGATCCAAACAAAACCTCATTTGACCCTCAAAACGACACAGCTCCAAGTTCCTCGTGTCAGTTCCTACCTGCTGCCAGCGGCTGCTTGTGATGTATTTTCTGCACATCACTGTGTTCCCATTATGAGAAATAAATAGTCTTTTGTGGCACGTTCCCTTCAGACTAATCCCCAGCCAAGATGTGTTTTGCTTTGAGCCTAATGAGGAATCTTCTGAGACAGAGAGAACACCTTTAAAGTTTGTACCAGCTCTCTTCAGGTGCACATCTGGTGACCTCATATGGCAAATTAAAGTTCACATCATATCAGATAATGGCTGTGTTCTAATGCCCTAACAGTACAGCTCCAAAGGTGCCAAATGTATATCACTATATAGTCTTTAACACTGAGTTGATTAGAACTGCTCCGTCCCAGCTGATAAAAATCCGAATCAACAAAAAGAACTTCAAGGATAATTTTTCTTATTAACTTATTAACTCCTACAATGTTAGAACCCAAACAGAGATGATGATCTCAGATAATATTTGTGTTTCTAAAATCAACTTCACCATGACTTCTGCTTTGCTCTGTCCAACCTGGCCACTTGACACTTCAGACAGTTCAGGAATCTTGCAGGATGCAAATTATATTTATACTACATCTTGAAAAGAATATTAAGAAAACACAGTCTTCCTTTCCTGTCAGTGCAGCTGCACTTTAACTGCTATTTCTGAATAGATTTGTTTCTGGCATTATGCATATTGTGTATTTCAATACTTTTGTGCCAGATATGACTAATTAGCAAGTGACTGACTTGACTTTGAATTTTTTGAATTTTCAGTATAAATTAAATTGAAAAATAAAAATATCCTGCAATATATATTATGTTATATATTCCTCTCATAATATTGCATGCCCATAGATTGCATTTTTTTAAAAATATTCTCAGCTAATGATGACAATTTAAAAAACAAAAAACAAAAACCCCCCCCCACATTCCTAGCATTCAGGGGTAATGTGAATCTTGCTTTAGCTATACACAGGTTAGCTGCAGTACTGCCTGTATTCAGTTGAACGTGTTTGCTCCATAGAGACTGTTGATGTACTCTGCACTGAGATTCTTTAAGGATTGAGCCTGGACTTCGACCATGACCTGGGCATTACTCTAGGCATGCTTTTTGCTGTCATGGGGGACAACCAGAGAGCAGAATATGGACAGTGAGGTGCAACAGCATAACCTTTGGTTCCTCTGATGTTTTCACTTGTACAATAAAAGTATACCTGACCGTTAAAACAATGGATATTTTGGTGTCTTAAGAAGGTCATTTTGACATGCTGGCATTTATCCCTCTATGACATGCGCAAACTTGTGCCACAATCTCCCAAACAAACCAGACGTCCATCCCCAACTCAGCTGTTCCTGGGCTGTTTTTGAAGGTTAGATTCTGAATGTTATGAAGACATGTTTTTAAGCTATTCTATAGGCAGGATTTGAATTTGATTAGTTATTTTGATTACAAAACATCTGTAAAAATAAAAGCTCTCAGATTTAAGTTATTTCTAATTTAAATGAGAATTGGAACCAGTTCAATGAGGAAAAAAATACGTGCATTTGTTAATGTGAGTTCAATTACAGCACACGCTCTCTGTATGTAATTACTTCTTCATAATAATAGTGAGAATTTGGTAGTGACATATTTTCGATGTGTTTCAAAATGTGTATCAGGGAGAAATATTTTGGAGTTTTTTCACTTTACATGACTCCAAAGTGCAAAAACACTTTCACAGCCCTGTGCTGGACAGTCATTTGTAACCTGGTTAATAAAGAAGAAAACCCCCCACAATTATAACAGCACTGACATTTTAAATGATCATTACTGCTCTTCCAAAGCTCACCTACACTTTTGTTCTTCTTGCCACTTTAATTAAATATGACTCACAATTTTATTATACACTTAGGTCTATCAAATGTGGTTAAAGTGCAGAATTTCAGCTTTAATTCAAAGGCTTTTACAACATTTACATTAATTGTTTAGGAATTACAGGCATTTTTATGCAAAGTTCCCCATTTTCAGAGGCTTTTTTTTTTTTTTGTCCAAAGGCTAAAAATTATTAGAAATTGCAATGTGAGACATGTTAACTTTTTATTTTATGACAAATGAAGCAGACATAATATTAGAAGTGGATTCAAGGTGTTGAATTTGTATTTTTTCTTCATTGTAATTTTAAATATGAGACCCCAAAAAGATGTCAGTCCAAATGAGGGAAGCCATCATTCGGATGAACTTAAATCAGCAGCTTGGCAATGCCAAATGATGGTGGTGGATGATGACACAAAACTTCCACTTAAATTTCAGCTAAAATACATGCAGACAGAATTAGTTTCTGGTGGGAAAAAAAACCCATCTTCACAACATCTAATCAAGTCAAGAACCCCTGAGGAGGTACGACTATCATTGTCATGAATGGGATTACAAAAAGGCAAAAACCAGTGGGTCCACTCAAAATCAGGAGGGCCAGATTAGACCTTGCCAGAAAACATCTAAAACTGCACGCACAATTCTGGGAGAAAGAAACTCACTGGAGAGATGAAACCAAGATGAACTTGTACGAGAAGGAGCGAAACAGCTCAGGATGTGAAGTATATCACATTATCTGTCAAACATGGTGGAGGTAATGTTATAGAATGGCAATATGCGGCTGTCAGTGGAACTAGGTCACCAGTTTTACACCAGTAAAGAAATGGGATATTCTTCTATTTTTTGGGTTGGCTGTGGTTCAGAAGGTAGAGCAGGTGGTTTTATTCTTGGCTGCTCCAGTTTGCATGCCAAAGTACTGTTGGGCAACTAAACCCCAAGTTGTTCCCGACGTGTTCATTGGAGTGTGAATGTTAGGTAGAAAACACGCATAGAAAAAAAATGCTTGTATGAATGTGTGCAAATAGGTGAATGAGGCCTGTAGCAGAAAATACTTTGAGTGCTCAAGCAGAGTAGGAACTAGTTCATTTACTATTTACCATTTTAATGGTCAAGTTAATCTCAACCCAACAGAGTATATTTATTGAATTATGTTATTAAAATAAAATACAAAATTCATAAAGAGTCACAAACAAGCAGTAACTGAAGGTGGCTGCAGTAAAAGAAAGTAAAAGGAGGAAACAGCATTTGGTATCCATGGATTCAAAACTTCAGGCGATCATCGACTAAGTATAAAGAATAACCTTTTGTTTTAAATTCTGTTGTGCTTATCTATTAATTTTGAGCCTCTGAAATGGGGAAGGGTCTACAAATGTCTGTAATTTTTGAAACCCCCCTGAATCAAAGCTGAAAGTCTGCGCTTCAATCATAATATTGACTGATTTTAAAATCCACTGTGGTGGTGTACAAAGCTGACTTCATCCAGCAATTTATGGACCTAACTGTTATTCTCCCCTGGACAAATTGGCTCTTTACTTCAGAGTTTTATAGAGCAGAGTTTTATAACAAACAAGAGAAGACTGCAATGTGACGCTCCGGATATCACAGAGAAATAACCACAACCAAGATAAAGTAGCAAACTGTGTTGTGTGAGGAGCGAAATGCCACCAAGCAAACGGCAGTAGGTAAGCCACTACGCAGCAAACTTTTAATAAAGCTATCAGGCTCTATATATGTTGACCGAAAACACGCTGCCAGCTCTGGATACTGAGAAGAAGATATGCTCCTAATGTGAGCAAAGATGCAGTGAACACCTTTTGTCAATTGAAAGAATAGAGTGGCAGGGAGGAGATAACAAAGCAGAGCTTGGCATGAAAACTGAGCACTCTCTGCCAGCTTCTGTGCCTTTGTGTAGTTGCTCATAATGCCCCTCAAAAAAAGTCCTGGCTGGATAAGTCGCAATTTCTCTTGCAATTCTTCTTGCGTCGCAGTGTTTTTAGGCACTTTGGAGCTAGCGTGATTAACTAGTGAAACATCAGACTTTGATTGGGGTGACGGGCCGCCTGCGTACGCTTAAGAGGGAGACGAGAGGAAGAGCGAGCTAGGGAGTCTTCACTCTAAGTTAGTCGTTCTGTTGACTCCAGCCTTATTAGAGCCCCTGTTGTGAGGATGATTAGTGTTATTTACATTATCGAGCTTATTGTCAGCTGCCGCGCCGCAGCCAGGCTCTATATTTTTTTCATTAGCGAAAGCCTGACAGAGAGCCCAGAGGAAGCATTGTTCCCTTTGATGTTGTCCCGTTCTGACAGATAAACAGACTTCCACTCACACAAACGCACTCCCATGAAGCCACAGATTGCTCGGAGCCCCTCGGTGACTTCAAGCAACTAGCTTTACTTCGCCTTTGCCTTTTCGTTCTTTGTATCGCTCCCTGCTTAACTTTTGTTTGTGGTTCTCCAAGTTTTTTTTTTGTCATCTTCTTTCCAGTGTTTTTGCTTGTGTTCTTTTCACTTTTTCTTTTGCTCTTTAGACCACCTGCTGATCTGGACTGAGATTTGTAGCAAAACACGCTTAGCAAGGATGTGCACACGTCTTGTGCAACCTAAAAAGCTCACTGGATACATTATTTCCTTCCCTGGGAGCTCGGATATCTCCCCTCACATCAACTAATACGTTCCCCGCTATTGCTTTCCTTCTCTCTTTGTCTCTGTCTTCTCTTTGTCATAGCCTCTTCCCACTTTACCTTATTTATGTCTGAACTGATCAGCTTATCAAATGTATTCTTAGTGTGGTCTATGAAATCTTTTTTTTAAATTTATTTTTGTTGTTGTTGGAGGGACTGTATGCTTTGTGATAAGCCTGCAGATTGCTCTTGTGTTTTTGCACCACTGTTTTTAGCGCTACTGTTTTCAGAAATGACTTTGGAGCCAAATAGTCTCCATTGCTGGTAGTCTTCTCTTTGATTTTCTGTTGATGAAATGTGTGGGTTTTTCTGTTTTTGGTTAGCTGTGTTTTTTTTCTCATCTCTTTCAGGCATAGTGGCTATTGCTGTCTATATGAAAGGCTCAGATCTTTTACTTTCTGATGCCTGAAACTTCAAGTGTTCACACACTGCGTACCAATAGATATTTTTTTGTGAAGCCATTACAAACAGCAGGTTTTTACAACCACATATGTAAAAGCTTTAAACTGATAGTAGGCCAGGCTATTGTTGTGTGTTTACTACAAATCCAGCGATATAAAATTATATTTTCATTTCATTTTCTGCACATTTTTCCCTGTTTTTCTTATTCCATTCCCGTTTTCTCTTCCACAGCCTCTCCACCAAGGATATTGAAACCCGGAGCGAATCCCTCAGCTTGTTTGAGACTTTAAAGTGTAACCCTCAGGCCTTTTACAGCCACATGACAAAGTATGTTCTTCCCACTGTGGAAGGAACCGACCTCAACCGCCTGCTCTACTACTACACCTTACTAGATGCTGCGGGCTGTGAGCCTTACGTCACCACCACCATTAAGCCAGACTCTCATGTTAAACTACTCAAGAAGCTTCGGGCTGTTGCCAACGGTGAGGTGTACACTGTTTTTTATGGTGATTATATAGTATATGTAGTTCATAACTGGCATTTTGATTGTTGTTCTGACAAATCCCCCAGCTAAAACGTTTTGTTACTGACATAACCACGGTTCTCTGAAAACCAAGTGGGGGATCTTATAAAGGGGAAGTGACTTCTTGCATGACCAATCACAGGAGCTCCACTAACACCATGTTGGTCTAAGACAGACCAGTCACTGTAAGGACACAGGGACCCCTGACCCACTTTAAAATACATTTTAATCTATAACAGTTAGTCAGATTTATTTAGTACTAAGCATGCCATTACTGTTTTACAACCCTGTGCCAGGAAAATGATAGATATGAAGTCCAAGCAATAAATCAGATTAATTCAAATGGAATTTATTATTATAAAACAAATAAAACAACAATGAAGTCTGGAAGCCTGCAGTATCAACAATATTGGCTATGAAAAGATGTAGTTATGGTTTTAAAAAAATTCTTGGCTTTTATGTTTCAGGATTTGATAAAGATCATCTGGTCCTTAGCATGTTTTAAAGTTAGGCAAATACAGTTTCAGCTAAACTATAAAACATACACCACATCAACCCATGTCATTATTTAACAAAAACTAAGCCAATATACAGAAGCAGTGTGTGAGGAACTGAGTACGTCCCATGATTCCCTAGCTTGTAGAAGCACCTTAAGCAGTAATAACTTGAAGTAATCATTTTTTGTATGACTTTATTAGTATCTCACATTGTCGTGGAGGAATTTTAGCCCATTCTTCTTTACAGTGTGGCTTCAGTTCATTGAGGCTTGCAGGCACTCATTTATGGACAGCTCTCTTAAAGTCTCACCGCAGCAAGACTCCGGTTGAAATAATGGAGGTTCTGAATGTTGTTTCCCCGGGGACATTCACTGTGGCTCAAGTGAAAAAGAAAAGTTTGGACATGAAAGATGATATGAAAAAGTACTAACAGACTGCAAGAAAAAGAAGAAAGTAGGCAAAGGACAAGGAACATGTGATCCGTCAGCTCTAGAGGAGAAACTCACTGCAATGAAATATAAAGAAAAATCCAGATTCTCCAGCTAATAGCAGGATAATGCGAATGGTGACATTTCACAATAATATAAATATTTTTTAATGAAGATAATTTAAGAAAAAAAAGAGATATTTTATACATATATTTTTTAACTTAAAGTGTTAAAATTTACAGCCTCCCATTTAGAATTTTGCTGTCTTTACATGCAGTTTCATTTTTAATTTTTCTTATTTAACTGTAATTTTGGCTTATTGTGTTTTGGAAAACTGTAAATAATGACCAAATATGACGACTACTACTACTAATAATGATCATAATCCTACTGCTAATACTTGTAGTAATAATCATAATAATGAAAACAATGATGATAATGATGATCATGGTATTAGTAGTACTGCTAAGGGTAGTATTCATTTTAAATACTTGGTTTTAGACATCCTAAGACAGCCAGACCTTCATTTGTTTGTCTGCATGGTCAGAGACTTTCTGAGAAATCATTGAAATGTTCTTACGCGTGATTTACGTACACACTGAGCGCGAGCGAGGGTTATTATTCCACAAGCCTTGTGGTTTGTTCTGATGTAGCTTTGTAAACCTAAGCCATGTTTCCATGTTGTTTTTAGGCAGAAGAGGCTTTCTCCTGGCAACCCTTCCTAGCAAGCCTTGTTTGCCTTTTTTTTTTTTTAACCGTACTGCCATAAGCTCTAACATTTTACATGCTAACTGAGGCCCAGGGAGTTTGAGATGTAGATCTTGGGTTCTTTCATTTTCATTGAGTATTGCACTGTCTGACCTTGGGTGAGTTTGCTGAAATGTTCACCCATGGGAAGTTTGTCAGCTGTGAATGCATTCGCTTTAGAATGATGAACTTCAAATTGTTTGGAAAGGGCCTTATAACCCCGATCAGCAGCAACATTTGCTTCTCTGATGATATTGCTGATGTCTTTCCTCCATGGCCTTTTGTTAACATATACCTCAATGCTCCATTACCTGTGATAGCAGTAAAGGCGTGTTTAGCTTTTCACACAATTCTTGTGCATTGTGTCTTAGTTTTTGTTAAAATGATAATGATGTGGTGCAATATATCATGTGTTTTGGTTAATCTGGGGTTGTATTTACCTAATATAAGACCTGGTAATGAATTGCTATGTTTTTTTTAGTAAGTAGTAAGTTATTGAAGTTGCAAATGTAAATAGCTGATGCCAGGCACAGAGAATAGAATACAAAGTGCGTCTGTGGGCCAGCATTTTTAGACGGGAGGTCCCAGGTGAGAGTGTACACGAGTTGATGACCCTCCCATGTCAGGCAATTATCCAGTCCTACAAGGAATGCTAGACTCTTTGACAGGTTGTCACTACTGAAAAAAAAAAACCCCAAAACAAAATGAACCAGAAAAAAAAAATCATGGCAACATTTCTTGCTTTTAAATTTCTGTATAATTCCACTTATTTAAAAAGCGTTTTGTGTGAAATCATGAGGGAAGTTATTTTGCATTCGGCAAACAGGGTTATACTTTAGAAAAACAGAGTGCTGCCATTTCTATTTGCAGACTAAATAATAGCCTTCGTTTACTGAAGAATGCAGTTTCTGAAGAGTGAAACGCAACAAAAAAAACAAATTCATAGGGATAGTGCACCTGTTACTGGTGGGGGGAAAAACACCTCTGGCCTGTGCTGTCAGGAAGTAAAAGTCCAGACTTGAAGACAATCTGTCTCGACATGAGTGATGACTCACACACAGATACTGACATTGCTTCTGGTCAGCGGTTGTCATGTGGAATTTTAAAAAAACAACAACTGACCGTCTGAATAAAGCTAGTCGCTAACGTTTGACTGGGAAGAACAAATAAAACACCTCCGATCACATCCTGATAGTGCCAGTTACACATATTATCCTTTGTCTGATTCATCTTGCCCTTTGATCTTATTCTGCTTCCTTTTTTCCCTATTAGCTCATGTAGATGTTTTCAAAGATGAAGAGTAGCAGGGTTGAACCATGCAAAACTATAACGATATGGCTGTGAAGTGAAGTGAAAAAGCATCAATCCTATTGATATACCAAGGGTCTGAGAGAAAGCATTGCACTCGGTCCTCTCCCAGGACATCATGTCACTGGTTCAGCGCTCCAGGCTAGAGTGCTCAAACTTTGTTGCGTACGGGTGAAGCTGGTGTCACTTCTTGGAAAAGTTCAGTAAAGGTCAGCCAGGTGTCAGCTGTGTTTTCACGCCTCACTTCCTCCTTCTGCTCCTGATAGCGCCACAGCTTTTACTGGTGACACATGTCTCTGTTTAACACACTGAACCACACATGCCCAAATCACGTACACACACAACACTGAGACATCCACATCAAGACTGGGATGCAGTTTTACATAAAGTAAGAAAAATGAAATTAACTTTAAATGCACTAACTCCCACTGCTGCTTTTCAGTTTCACTAATGCACAATTACTGCCACATCACTATATTAGCATCTCGCTGTTTTCTCCCGTTTGTGCTTCTATCGCTTATTTGCAACTCACAATGACAGCGGCTGAAGGTTTACCACACAAAGAACTGTTGTTCTAGGCTGAAGTTAGAGATGTATAAGGAAATTGCAATCACATGTGCAGGTGGTCTGAATGGGACCTTTTAGAAGCAATCCAAATATAAGCCCAGCTCTTCACAGGGGGGACATAAACCTTGTAAACAAAGCAAGATGAGGCTCAAACTGCATCTTCTGGGCAAAAGGTTCCTCAGCAGTTGATGATCTGTGTAGAAGATGAACAGAAGACTAGTTAGTCAATAGACAGAACAATATGAACTCAAGGCAATTTTACATTGTTAAGTCTACATTTATTTTTACAGTGTTGTACAAAACTCTTGAGCCTTAATTCCTTTTTGATTACCTCCACTGAGGAGGTTATAATGAAACTTTATAGAGCTATTTAAAACTGTTTCTTACGGCCACTGGTGTACTGACAGCATAGTGTAAATGTTGTCAGTACACCAAGTAAATTGTAAATCTGATGTCAATTTGGACCTCTGGCCTCTTCTTCAAGGTCAAATAAGGTCAGATCTTCATAAAATGCCTTTTATCATTAAAACTAGTAAAAATTATAATACCTTTTTTGTAATGCCAGTATTTAGGGAATGATACTATTATATTGGTATTCTAAATATCTAATATTTCTTATAGTTTGTATGCAAATATGTCACATTTGACCGTATCTGCCTTTCTTTCAAGTTGACCTTACACTAAAAGTATTCAAATTAAAGCATTGTCAAGAGGAAGTTAGAAATATACTGTAGTATAATATTATATAATACCCTCAAGTTAATATTGTTATTAACAAATCAAGTCCCCTTATCTATTACCTACTCCAACATAATGTTTGTATAATCAGAGTCAATATCTGTTGCTACCCTTATCTGATTTTTACTGAACTACAAACTTCTACCAACTTTGTAGTTCTGCCTTGGTGGAGGTTTGCGCTCTGCTCCTAGAGTACTTCTTTTTTATATTTTTCTCCCCACTAGCCAGACTTTCTTGTAATTTTTTTAAACTGCTTGTGAGCAATAGTTCTTCAGGCTTTCTGAAGGTCTTTCAGATTTATACTTTGGACACTGCCTACTATATTACTCATTTTAAGCCCAGTCCTTGTACATGAGCATTTCTAGAGAAATGCTTTTTATTTGTTTAGCCACTTAACATTGACCTATGAAACCAGAAAAGGCCTAACTGAAGGGATGAAGCAGGGTTGTGCCTACACATAACGAAAAACTTGGCAAAGAACCTATTTTAAATTGTATCTTCAATTTTGGAGAACTTATTACTAGCAGCCTGTCACAAAAACCAGCTGGTTTCATATGCTAGATGTGGCGTGACGAAGAGACACCATAGAAAATAAATAACAGTGAGTGACTTCACATGGCCACAGGCAAAATAACCGCAGGCGAGCTCAGCACAGGACCTGATAATAAACTCCCAAGCAAGTGACTGAAGCGGCTACCAATGAGATTCATGAGTACTATTGATTGAAACATGAACTGGTAGTAAGTACATTAAGAGGTTACCTAGGTAGCCGGAGCCTTGCATGTCGACCGGATGTCACCTTCAAAGTAATGTCCGATGAGTGAATTGGTTTCAGTGGACTCAACTTTAGGAAAGGGAAACTGGGAGAGAAGGTTCAAATTACACAAGAAGGCAGTCTTTGGAATGTCCTTCAAGAAGCCCGGAGAATTAATCCTAAAGACTACTTCCATAAATGACAAGAAAGCTTACTTAAAAGAGTTCAGGCTGTGTTGAATAAAGGTGGTCTTACCCAATATTGGCTTTCAAGCTCAAGAGAATTGCACAAACTCTGTTTTAGCCTTATTTACGATATTTGCATAAATTTTGCCACATTTCAATACATTTCGGCCCCTATTTCCCATTTGTCTAGTAAAATATAAAGAATCGAAAGGTGACTCAAGGCTTTTCCACAGTATTCTGTTTTTAAGAAATCTTTTATACAGAATGCAGAATAACGTCTTGATTTCAGGGAAGCATGGATAGAGCTGCTAATGTTGCCCTAAACCAGCTTAAAAACACAGAAAATAAAAGAAAATGGATGCACTAGTTTTAAACAGGCAGCATAGGTGCTGACAGTTGCATAAATGCTGTTTAGCCATGGGGAGAACCAAAGTCCATGCTTTATTGCACCACATAAGCTACCAGGAGTTGCAGCATCATGAGTACTAATAGATTAATGCACACGCATATACACACTAAGCCAGATTGACTTTATATGCATGCACAAGCGCATATAGTGACTTTGTGACAATAACACTTTCACGCTAACACTTTCTGTACTGTATGTCTCGCTCTCACTCACTCATTCACACACATGCACACACATACTGTTGAAGCATAACCCACGTATTCACACTTCCTGCAGCAAAACTGATACACAGGCTGTTGCCGTGTCTCTGGGGCCTCTAACTTTCTACCAACACTTTCCAACTCTTCTGACATGCTCATTCAAAATGACTCATTTGCAGTCCTGAACAGACACATGCAAACTAGCCCACCCAGATGTACTTACAGAGGCTTTCAGATGAGTTGGAGACAGGTGGCGTGTGTCGAGTGCTCATCACATTTTCAGACACAGTACCAGGTGACCATCCGAGCGGGCTCTAGTGGAAAGGGGGAAAGAGAGGCAATATGAGGAGTGGGTGGGGCAGGTGAAGCCGGAGGGAAAGAGTACATATGTAAGTATTTGTGGTTTACATGTCTGTCTGGGCCTGTCTGGAAGGTGTGTGTGTGTGTGTGTTTGTGTATGTGGGTTCAACCTGGAAAGTTTTGTGTGTGTGCGTGTATGCTTGTGATTGTGTGAATGATTTCAAGCAGCATTGACAGAACCCTCCCCACAGGCAGACCCGTGTTAAAATATTTAAAGCCCAGACAGGCCATGTAGCGTTGCTACAGTAATGCGTCTGTCTGATAGCGCTGGAGACCAAGAGCACACCACCGGCTCTCTCGCTCTCTCTCATACACACACACACACAAATGCCTACTCCGGGGGTACTGCAGTGGTAAATATGATGCACGCAGACAGTTTGACAGTCAAACTGTACATGTTTGCATGCAGGCAGAGACGGCCGGCACCCCTTTCACACGCAGGTCACACGCGATCCTTGTTGTTCACATCCGCCGTTTACTCTTTCCTGAGATGCTTTTCATCTCCTGATGCTTTTCTGTCATGTGATGGAATATTCAACGTCCTGTGCAAATCTCTCGTCTGCTTGGTTGTCACAGAAAACAGAAAGAATAGTAATACAGAAGCATGCACTGTATGCACACTATAAAAATGGTACATTGTGTTCCCCTTCCGACACAATGCAATTTTATACTCTGCCGTGGAGAATAAACATGCTTATTGTTCATATGTAAATACTCTTTTTACAATTCCCATTATTGATCTTGAAGTTGTAGCAGTAAAAGGACCTTTGTTATGCCATGTTTAAAGAACCTTGAGCTAAACATAAAGCTAATGTAAAGCTACTACTGCTTTTTGTAAGTGTTCAACATCAACCTTGCATAATTGAGACATACAAAGGAGTGTCAAAGATCCCAGTACACAAGGAAAAGAGAGGAGCATCCAAGTATACTTGTTCTTTTTTTGATCATAAAGCTCGAGGCTTCAGTGAAGAGGCAAACACATTTTTAAGGTGAAAGCGTTGTAAACGTGTAATATGTCTTTCATGCTTGCAGGTTTGAACTATCGGAAGCTCACGGATGAATCCTCGGATCCACTGGCCACTCTTCAACCAGTGCTGACCAGTCAGAACGTGTTGTCCATCTCCAAACTTGCCAATCGTTTGCCTTTGCCCGGCGGTGGTGGTGGGGCCACGGTGTCCGCCAGTGCAGTCCACGCAGTATGGCTGCAGAAGGTGTTCTGGAAAGGGGACCCCCAGCTGCTGAAGAGACCCCCTCAGAGCGACCAAGACTACCTACACGCTTACGACACTTGTGCCAAATACCTGGACAGGCTGGCCCCTGGCGACGCTGTCCGCTTCCTGGATAACATCACCTTCTCTCTTGATGCATCTAAAAACGTAAGCCTTAATTGGACCAAACAGAGGGGCATTTTTTTCATAGAAATTATTCTATGACGGGGGCGGGGGTCGTTTGAGCAGAAGAGGCTCTATTTTCTATTACTTTCTCAGGTAGGAGCTGTGATAGGTAGACGACTCTGGTTAATTGCAGCACAGAAGGTAGTTGGTTTCTTCCGCAAAGGAAGGATTCGTATTTGGTTAAAGGGAAGATTGCGGGGATTTTCACTCACTACATCAAACTGTCATTTTCCTCACTCCTCACTCCTCACTCATCATCGTCGTGCCGGTCTTCTCTAATGCCTGTGGCCCAATTTCTGGAATGCCAAAAGCCCTCTCCTAATTTCAAATACATTATTCTGTTCCCATCCACTTTCTGCAGCCTCAAAGCACATACCAGTCATGATTTATAAAAGAAATTATAAAATTTCACAAGGAATGTCAGCCACATAATTACAGGACTGTGAAAAATTGTCCTGCAGTAGACTTAAAGTGCCTCAGTGCACCTTATCAATAGTAGCCTGCTGTTCTTTTTTTTCCTTCGCCCTGGCACCCTGCCATCACCCTTCTCCAGACCTTCCCTTTTTTTTCTATTTTTGTCCTGTGTCCCTTCTCTTTCCCTACCACTCCAAGAGAGCTAATTGATCCCTCTTGACTTCAGAGCCAATTAAACTCCAATTCCCAGGAGGCAATGTTTTCCCTTTGTGTTCTTTAACATGCAGATTACCTCTCAGGAAGACACCGTCCACTCCCTCTGCCATTACCATCCCTCTCTTCTCTTTCTTCTGTCCTCCTTGGACATGCAAAGGGAAAATCGAGTCCCTTCTCACATTTGGGAATGTTTTCGACCTTTTGACCATTGGGTGGCAATGATGAATTGATTCACCGTTGCCATCATTGATTAATTTCCTACAAGGCCAAGGATTGAAATGCATGCAAAACTTCCCATTGGACATTTTTTTTCTGAAGGGAAACAGATTATTGATCTCAGCTAACCTCTTTGGTGGATGCATCCCATCTTACTCAACTTCTAACTTCTTTTCTAACCTTACCCGAGACTCTGACTGATGTTGGCTGTGAATACCTGGATTTGATTCAGTAGGATACACACTTCATAACACATTTGTACAAATACAAACAGTACAAAGGGAGGTTGCCGGTTCGAGCCCCGGCTCGGACAATCTCGGTCATTGTGTCCTTGGGCAAGACACTTCAACTGCCACCTACTGGTGATGGCCAGAGGGTCCGATGGCGCGATATGGCAGCCTTGTTTCTGTCAGTGTGCCCCAGGGCAGCTGTGGCTACAACTGTAGCTGCCTCCACCAGTGTGTGAATGTGAGAGTGACTGAATAGTGGAATTGTAAAAAGCACTTTGAGGGCCCCGAAAAGCGCTATATAAATGCAATCCATTATTATTATTATTATTATTATTATTATTGCTAAATAAACTCAATTTAAATGAGCGTCTTACTTGCCAGAGAAATGTTCTGACGATCTCGGTGAAGATTACTGCAAATTCAAAATGGGGCATATGTAGCACATGTTGAAAGTGTGAAGCATAAAAACCTCCTGTAGCCCGAGGCCCACTCTTCTCCCCATGAATGGTTAACCTGCTCAGTCTGAATAAAATCAATTACTCCAGGTAATCCCTCTCACTCAAACACACACTCCTTATACACATGCACATGCTACTCAAGTTCCTGATAGTATTGAAATGCAGATAGATTAGGTTGTACCTACCTCTCTTTAACTCGGTCCATTTTAAATGAATTTACGAGTATAGAACTTGAGCACCTCTCTCTTTGCTCAATTCCACGCCTCCCCAACTTCCACCTCTCTCCCATTCTCTTTCTTCCATCCATTTCATGTCCAGTTGAGCATCCAAGCGAGGTTGGAGGTGATAAGGCGAGCCACCAAAGCCCTGCGCCAGCTGGGTGAGAAGAACAGGAAGAGAGGAGGTGATGACAGTAGGGAGCAGGAAGGGACGGACCCTGCAGGAATGACTTTTGATGAGGCTCTAGCACACCTGCAGCAATCTCAGGCCCACCTGGACACTCTGAGTCATCCCTTCATTCTGTCACTCAAAGACAGCCAGGAGGTAAGCCCCATCTGCCAAACACTTGAGCCATTTTATTCTTTTTCGGAGAGTGAGATTTGCTTTTTGTGTAAATGTGCTTTTAATGATCCATTGAAAGAACACACAAAGTTTAAGAGCGATATTTGCCAGCTGGTTAATTAAATTGGGGACAGAATTATTCTTTAGCACGCAGTACAATGTATCGTGCAATCATTCTAATCCACAAACTTAAGTGGTAAATAATTACAACTATTATCCAGCCAAACCCAGTTTGTTTTCATCGGAAACGCAAAGAAACGCAAAGAATTTGCATAAAAAATGATGCAAAAATCAAAAACGCATGAGCTGATCTACTTTTCAAAGAAATGAGGCATGTGGCTAGTCACACAAAAATGGTTCCAAAATAAAGCTAGCTTGTTTGTGTGGATGGATTATTAATATCATTATTTATGTTTTTGTGTGTACTGTATATCCAAAAGAATCGTTACTACTAAAAGAGCAAATTCTTCAGTTTCTTCTAACTTCTGCTTTTAACTGATCAGCTGATCAGCAGCATCCATGTATAAACTCAGTCAATTCAGAAGTCTTACATTCATAGTGCTGTGCAAAAGTCTTGAGCCACCTCTCATCTCTATATATTTTGGTAAAATGGGGGAATGAGTTTAGCTATTTCTTGAAATGTGCAACCATTAATGCAATACAGTATATAAGAAGAGTTTGTACCATTCTAACAGTCTGAAAGTCAATATTTGGTATGACCACCTTTATTCTTCAACACAGCTTGAACTCTTTCAGACAAGCTTTCTTGTAATTTATTTGAACAGAAAGCCTATTTTATGCCTGTCAAACTTTGTTATCTTTGGCATTTTTCATAGACTCAGCTAAAGAAATGAGAACAAATTATGTTTCTGCAACAGGCTGCTGGTAACAAAGTGTCTAAAAATAAGTTTTAAATGAGTTTTTTTAAGCTGTCTGTTATTAGTAGACACAACAGCGTTTCATCCCTTGAGCTCGGTGTATCTCTGGCTCCTTGGAAGCAAAATCAGTGAAGAAATGCAATCCCCACACAAATGCAATTGCCTATGGAACGGTAAGTTTAATAGGCCCTGAAGTGAAGAAGACATTTGACTCTTACTTCTTACTTCTTTGCCAGTTCATAAGGTCACCTTTGGCTGGACATACAAATGGTGCCTGCATATACAGTACTTGTAACGCTTGTGTCTATGTGTGGGTATGTGTGTTGTATATTTTGTGGGTGGTTCTGCTCGGCTAAGCTCTTCCCAGCCTCAGAAAGGCCAGTCAAGGGTATATTAATGTAAATCTGTGGTCTGCTGTTTCAAATGAGCCCTGCCGTACGGACGCATATACGGTACAAGCACCATGCTGTATCTCATTAAGCAAAGTCACACTGACTTACCCCACTGTCACCTCACTGTGGCTGCCTGTGTGTGTATATACACAGTCTGAATCTGGGGCTAGAGAGAGGGGACATTATAACTTGGCGAGCTAAGTGTTGCTATGCGACAAGATATCATTGAAAACTGGTGATTTCTGACCCCCACACTGTGCAAGTTAATAATATTTTGTCCCAGTTTTAACTGTGTTTAAAAGCACATACCCTCCATAATAGAGTGGAAGACACAAGAATTACCAGGCAGAGCTTTAGGGCAGAGTCACTGATGCATACATGGGCGCACACACACATACACAAGCACACACACAAACACTGCATCCTCTATAGTATAACTTTCCTTTTTTTGGTGGAGGATGTAATTGTATCCTTGGAGATGTATTAAAATAAGGGATATAAGAACCAGAAAAGGGCAGATAGGTAGGGAGAGATAGATACAAGAAGCTCTGTAGGCTCTGTTTGGCTATACTGTGGTCGTTTATCAAGTGTACGTGACCAGCTGCTAGAAATATTGTTAAACCTTTCTAACACAGAGGCCTTGACCTATAATAAGGACATCAAATGGCATGTTCTTGATATTGTAAATAGTGATTTTTAAACTATTAACTCGTGCAATTGTGAGAAAAACAGCAAAGAAAATAATAACAACATATCGTGTGATTTGTCTCTGCAGCAGCAGGGCTGTTCCTTTCTATGTTCCATATTCCTTTTGATGTGGTGAATCACATACTGTGGGCTATGAAAACCATGTCCTTGATAATTACACTTTAGAGTAGTATATAATATTAACAAAATTAACAATAGCCTTATTTTTCATCCACACACTGAGGCTGCACAATGATACACAGAGTGGCTAAGATCTCCATTATCCTACCAGCGTCCCCCGTATCCTCCAGGTGAACTGGGAATCCCTATTACATGCCCTTTTTTCCCCTAGCTGCTACTCTTTGGAGGAGCCTCATACCCGCTACTTTCTTTGTCCTTAAACTCTCTTGTGATCATAGCTAAGGATTGGAACAGAGAGCAATGAATTGAGAGCTTAGTTTCATGACACACTCATCATGTCATCATCATGTCCATTTCCTCTAACTGGCGCTTTACTTAAAGTGCTAATTTTTTCTGACAGGCATTCGTGGTCTGGCTCTTGGCACTGAGTGCTGCAGAATGCATCCGTGAAACTAAAAGGATATCCACAAAAGAGATGTTACACAACAAGACACTCTTCAGGCTTTAGCTGATATTATGCTTTGAAATTTAATATACAGAGAGAATATCATGCATATTTGATATTCCTAGCATAAATATGATGTCAACATAAGGAATGTATGTATTTGAGTAACCTGAATACTTACCAGCACATTAGTTCGGTACACCTGTTCAACTGCACATTAGGGCAAATATGCTAATCACAGAGCAATACCTAAGGGCATTTAAGTATGAAGACCGGGTCAAGACGACCTGCTGAGGTTCAAACTGAAAATCAGAATGAGGAAGAATGGTAATCTAAGTGACTTTCCACATGGCATCATTATTGGTGGCAGACAGTCTAGTCTCTTTCAAAAACATCTGATCTATTAGGGTTATTCTGCAAAACCATTTCCAGGGTTTACAGAGAATGATCCAAAAAAGAGAAAATCCAGTGAGCGGCAGTTCTTTGGGTGAAAATGCACTGTTGATGTCAGAGGTCACAGGAGTATTGCCAGACTGCTTTGAGCTGATAGGGATAGTTAGAACAAAGGTATGCAGAGCATCTCTGAATGCACAACACGTTGAACCCACAGTCATCGGTTAAAGATGGGCAACAGTTCACACAAGCTCACGTTGTCAGGTAGCAACATTGGGATAGTAGAAGTCCAATTTAATGTAAACAATATGAATGTCGTTTATACACCACAATGAGCCTGATTAGCTGACTCATGTTCAACCCTTTGCGACCATAGTGAGCCCATCTTCTAATGGCTCCTTCCAGTAGGATAACTCACCATGTCACAGAAGCCCAAATCATGTCAAACTGGTTTCTTGAACATGACAATAAGTTCATTTCAGATGCACACCAGATTGCAGTTCACACCATATCTCATTATCTCTTTGGGGCATGATAGAATGGGAGACTCACATTATTGATGTGCAGCTGACATATCTGCAGAAAATATGTGATGCTGTCATGTCGATGTGAGCCAGAATCTCTGAGGAGTGTTTCCAGCACCTTGTTGAATCTGTTTGAACATGTGCCAAACACCTTCACTGTTAAAATAGCTTATGGATTTGGACGATTTCCAAGTGGTATTTTAATGGTGGATTTGGAAAAGACACACAAGACACAGAAAGCAGACATTACATTTCCTGATACTGCGACTGAACTGTCTGGATGTAGCTTCCTGCTGAGAGGTTGTATCAAAAAGCGACCTTAGTTTAGGAGGAGGGTCTTTCAATGGCTTGAGCTCAATTCTACTGCAGCTGCAACAGGCACTGAAGGGTTTGTGATTAGACTGAATGTTGGAAGGTTCCCTGGGGAACATGACAGCATTGCAGCAAACGCACACCAAATCCATCTTTTATGCATGAAATTGAACCGCATTTATGACTTCTGCAGCTGCCTGGGCTGAAGTTTCCTTCTTGCTCTCTGGACCTGTCTTAATTTTTTCTAGTGCTTGACTTGTTGTATGTCACTGACCCTGAAAGTATTTACAATGTTGTTTGAAATTGGACACATGAGGAACACATTTTAATTGAAGGTTTTTGCTCATTAATTAGTGTAAATATTGAACTGGGATGACCAGTAATCATCCCTCCAAAACAATATGCAGTGCTTTTACTTTATATGCCATGTAAAAAAAAAAAAAGGTTTATGGAATGAATAGTGAAAAGTGGCCATGGTTCAACAATGATTAATGAAACAAATCAAGATGGGATAGAGTAATTACTGAATCCTTTCATGCATATACTTTGAGAACTGGAGCGAGGTGTTTAAGTTCATGTTTTTCTTACAACTAATTAAAATATGGATATCTTTAGAAGTGCATTATTTTTCAAAACTTATTCTGAAGGAGTTATTTATTTGGTCATTAAAGTAGTAGTAAAAACAATATGCTGAAACTCATGAAGCATGTTTTTTTTTATATTAGGTGCACTTACTAACTGCTAGTACAGTGCCGTATTGGACACCATGTGTGAAAGGAGGAAAGTATCAGCAATTAAATAACCTTTAGCTTCTGGCAACTCCAAAGACCTTGTCAGCCTTATCCTCTGGCATTTGTGCTCGTAGCGTTTAGCTGGAAAGTCAGATAGGGGTGTAAAATGTAATAACCAGAGGCATGTGACCATGCATTAATAGAGCCAAAAGCCTGATAATGACACTCACACATTGAAAATGTCTGCATGTGACACAGAAGAGTAAATGGTAATGTACAGTGCCAGGAAAAGCATTTGTCCTCTTTCTGATGTCTTAGTTTATTTGCATATTTGTCTCACTTAAGCTTTAATATTAGACTCAGATACCTGATTAAATGCAAAATGCAATTTTAAATTTTTCATTTATTAAGGAAAAAGGTTATCCAAACCTACTTTGGCCTACTGTATGTGAAAAAAATAATTAACTCCTAAACCTAATAAGTGGTTGCGCCACCCTTGGCAACACTATCGCCACCATGTTGGACTGGTGGGCTGATTTTTTATTTATTTATTTATTTATTTATTTATTTATTTATTTTTAATGAATTGCTGTATTACTTTTAGATGTAATGGGACTCAAACCTCCCACTCATCAGTCCACAGAATATTTTCATATAGATGTGTTTTTCTTTGGTAATTGTGAGACGATCCTTTCTGTTCTTTTCGGTCAGCAGTAGTTTTCGTCTTGAAATTCTCCCATGGATGCGTTTTTGCCCAGTCTCTTTCTTATTGAAGAGTCATGAACTCTGATCTTAACTAATGTAAGTTGGGGCTGCAGTTGTTCTGGGTTCTTTTGTAACCTCCTGGATGGGTCATCAATGCACTCTGCACAGCTTTAAATTTGCAAATTATTACATTCTGTTTTTCAAAAGAGGTTATGATTGTGAACCTAACTAAATACATTTTGTACTCCCTACGACACACGTGTCCTTGATCTCTGACAATTTTGTGCACTTTTTTCACAGTGCCTTTTCTCCCCTTAAGAACTCTTTCTGTCATCTCATTAATATTAGTTTGTCTCTAATGTCTTAATATTTTATGGCCCCTAAAAAGACTGTGATCTTGTACGTTGAGATTAAGTCTACTACCTCAGTCTTTAATCATTATTTTTAACATCATTGTGTTTCGCTACTTTTTTCCATGTTTTGTTCCTGTTCTAGGAGCAGCTGCGGGCCTACAGTCAACTTTACGATTTGTCCCGTTCTGAGAGGTCAAAAGTCTGCGAGTTAGCAGTCACTATGGCAACTGATGGACAGCCCCTGGAGCAGATTGGAGAGCTTCTGCGCGTCACTGTTGGATCCTTAGACCTGTCTCTCAAAAGTGTCCTTCACGATGCTGTGGAGAGAGTAGTCGCTGCACTCAGGTATTTTATTTTCGATGTCAAGGTTCTTGATGTTCTACAGTATATGCAAAAAAACTCTGAGGTGTCAAGTGCTGACAATACCCATGTACATACTGAGATATGCACTGCCAAATGTTAGTTAATCTGCTTTTAGTAACTTCCCAACAATGCCCCAACATGCACAATGACAGAGAATCTTGAATCTTGAAATATGCATAATTTTGAGAAAACAGCACTTTCTGTAATGGCTTGGTAATAACATGTTAATAATGGATTAATGTTTGCTAAGCAGTTTGTTAATAAAGAGGCATTAACTAAGTAAATGCAATATGCAATTACCAAATTAACAACCAAGTAGCAGCTTGTTATTACTAATGTAATAAGAGACCACAAATGGTAGTAATGTAGACATTTAAAAGGACCAATGAGGCAAAATGACTAGTGCAACAATGTAATAACCTTAATTATTAACTCTATTAACACATAAATATTATTGTTTTTACGGAACTGTAATATAAAGCGCTACTCACTTTTTTCCCAAAAGGTGGATGAGCTATGAAGCTGTAATCATGAGGTGAGTAGCTTAGTTTAAAGCTGAAAGCAGGGGAAAACTTGTAATCTGGGATTCATAAAAAACAAAAAACAAAACCACAGCTTTCAGAGATTCTCCATGTCAAGACATCCAAACGTTGGTAACTCTGGTTCTCCTCTTAAAACATTTTTAGCTAAAGCTCTTTTTCAGTAGAAAAAACACACACACATAAAAAACCTGAAAAGTTGCCTTCAGCTGAATGCTCTGGACTGCACTCTGCCATTTCACTTTTACCATGCTGTAAGGGAGCTCATTCTGTAGTCTCTTTATAAATGCAGAGAGTGCTAAGACCTTCAAAGGCAGGGGTTTAGAAGCACCAGCATCCACAGTTGGCTGCATTGGCTGCCAATTGTGACCATTTCTCCACTATATATAAGTGTGTGTGTGGATTTTTTTTTTTTTTTTTTTTTGAGAAAAGGGTGTCAATAGCATTCAGAGACCAGTTGATCAAATCCATAATTCTCTTTAGGTTTTAGAAACAGACTGTGAGAGAGTAGAACTAAGCAGGGAAGATAAGGGAGAGGAGAAAAAGTGTGTCCGCCTCCTCCGAGAGCCAAAAGGATCACATACAGAAACCTGTACAAAGAGATCAAACCGCTACACACCTCTTACTGCAATCAAATTCTTTACCGCAGCCTAGCTAAAATATCAAAAATAAATAAACAATGTATACATCTCAAGCTTCAATTCAAGTCAAAAAAATATCTTAATTCTCCGCCTGATGTCTGAAGCTAGTGATTATTTTTGTGGCTGTAAATCATAGCTTGTGTTGCACAACGCTAGACCCCCTGTTAGTCCCAAGTTGTTCAGAAAATTGTTAATATTAGGACAGTGTTGAAAAATTACAGTTATACAGTAGTCTTGTGTGCTGTGTGCTATCAAACATACCACCAGCTGTGACAAGCAGAATAAAGGAATAGGAAAATTTAAGATGTCAGGTTGCTACGTGTGGCTCCCTTTTGTGCTAATTTAATCTTTTTTTCACATTCGCTGTTGCGCCTTGCCAAACAACATTATCATCTACACGTAACCCTTTCATTATCTGTCAGTGCAGATTGTATGGAAAAATTAATGTATTTTTATAACTATCCAGACAAAGCGAAGTGTCTACATTCAGCTCAAAAGCAGGCTTTTGAACATACTGTGCGCCACCTGCTGACACCACCTACGACCTGATCTTTGTTGGTTGTTATTTGAAAATATACTGTATATATATCTGTCCACTTTGGGCTGAGCATGTTGGTGGGAAGAACACTGTCAAAACAAATGCCTGAAGTGTTGAACTGAATCTGCAGTAGCTGCCTGTGGGAGTTGGGCTCACAGTCTTTTATTGGTGTTTTCCTGCTCCCAGAATTCAAAAGGAAGGCAGAGATGATTCACCAAGATGTGTCTGCAGATGTGCTAGATGTAAGGGCCGCGGTAAACACTTTGTATAACATTGTATAACATCCAACGAATACATGTATATGTTTGTTACTTAGTTTCTTGAGAAGAAGTGAGCTAAAACCCATTATAGAGAGTTGTTTTGATTTAACATACTGGAAGATGATTTTTTAAATGATTTTGCTTGTTGCTCAGACAGGCAGACCAGCGAGCAGGGTTTTACTGACAAAACCAGATATCATCAGGCCATCTGATTGGCTTGATAAATGAGTATCACCCGCTGTGATTATAATCCTGCCTCATTTCCAGCTTTTTTTATAGCTGCTCAATGGTGCATGCTTCAGATAAATGGCACCTGAATCTGCAGACACACACACATGCACAGGCACTCACACACACATTTGTATTTGTATAGACTTGGAGGTCATTATCCCTAATGAACACACACACATACACACTTTATTGCGTGCACATGTTCTCCCCTTTTCTCTGATTCATTATCTTTTTTATAATTAATGCAGCCTGATACAGCTGTTCCCCTCCAGATCTCACTCTGCTCCCACACACACACACACACACACACACTCACACACACAGAGTCTGGGTGCGTGTGTCAGGTGCAAGACTGCACACAGAGAGAGCACTGTTTATTCTCTGGGGGTTTTCTTTACCTTGAACACGTCACTCCGTGTTCTTACTTTATGAATATCCCTTTATGCGTCGACTGCGTGTGGCTGCGAGCGTGCGTGTCCGTAGTTTCGGGGCTTTCTTGAAGCATTGTGTTTGGCAGTTATGAATGAGGCGGTCTTGTTTTTGGCTCTCTCAAAGCCTTGAGTCTGGTACAGCAGGCATACCTGAGCCTCACACTAATAGCCGTCTTTTGTATCTGTCATAACTGCTTTGTTTGTGTGTGTTTAAATTCAAAATGTAAGTAGTGAAATCCAATAAAGAAAATGCTGCGTCATCTTTCCACTTCTTGCCCAGATCATCTGTATGTTGTGTGTGTATAAAGCGTGTGTGTGTGTGTGTATATTGTGTAGGCAGTTATATGTATTGGCCGGGGCATACGTTTATTTGTGTATGTGTATGGATACAATTCCAGCAGAAAAGTGGAAGTGAGTCGGGGGAAATCACCTTTTTTCCCTCCCCCTTTGTTTCTTTCTTTCGTTGTGAAAAATGGCCTGTGAACATATGGTGCACACACACACACATACAGCAGCACCCAGAGCCACTCTACAAATGCACTAATGATGTACCTTCTTAAGCTTACCTACTATTATGTGGATTTAAACCTCATCTCATTACGCCTCTTTTTATCATCTTTAAATTATTAAAATTAACGTGTTCTTGTAAATTTCCACCGGGCTCGATGAGCTTGTCACATTGGAGATGGCTATTAATGGTTTTTTTTTCTGTTTCATCTTGTCTGTAAGACTTGAAATACTTTTATGATTGTTAATTTAACAAAGGTTCACTACCTTCAAACATTTAATTGCCGCCAGACACATTTTTAACTAACACCGTCCCTGAGAAGGAAGCCTTTGATTTTTTTTTTTTAAGTTGCTGTCCCTTGACATTGTGCTAATTTGAAAATCTTATCTTAATTAGCTGATTATGTAAGATGATCGTGGTGATGTGGTTTGTTTTTCAGTGGAGACCCATGCGCCCTGACAAATTACCCACAACCCCTCAGGGTCCTGGAGGCCATGGTGACTGCTGTGCACAACAGTGTGCAGAGTGGGTAGGTTACATCTGTCATCTCATACAACATACTTACAGTGACCCATTCTCTGATTTCCTTTGTAGTCCCTAAACTAAACTGTCCTCACACAGCCAATGTCACAGCACTTAATCGCTTGTATTTTGAGTTTTATGTAAATCAACTAAGCCTTAAAGATTTTCTTCAGCTTTTGTCACCCTCTCTTTGCACTCTGCATCTTTTCAGTTCTATTCAAGGGCTGAAATTAACACCTGCTGAGTGTTAAATATCAGTTAAATATCTGATAAATAAATGAAGATAAACTGACAAAAGGCACCTGGCAGCCTGTCTTGTAGCTCTTTTTGACGACGAAAACGTTTTGACAGCATCTATTGCACCCTGGTCAGCTTTTTCATGACCAAAAGACAAACAAGGCACATGAAAACAAGGGATGTGTGACAAAAGAACTTTAAATGAATGCATCATAGTGCAGTCATGCCCACTGCATTACTTTGGAAAATGTGAAATTTCAAAGAAGAATGGCATAAATAGTAGACCTTTAACTTCTTCTTACTGACAAAGACATACCATATAGCCTGTTACATGCTAGAGTACGTAACAGATAACCTAAACTATTTGTTTTTATTGTTGGTATTCTATTCAATGTAACAACCAAAGATAAACATATGGAGCTACCCACTATAGCAAACTCTTTTTTCCCAGATTCCCTTCCTGACCCAAACCCAAAGTGAATTTCTGGCTGGAAACCTCTGCTTGCCAAGCAAAAGTGTTAACCACTACACCATTGGAGGAACCTTTGAATTCACAGACATTTGCTGTTTTTCTTAATTAATGATAAAGTTCTTAATTGTTTTGAAAATGTCCTTATTTTCCATTTTCACACTTTTCTCTCTTGTTTAAAGACCCTCAAAGTTCAAACCTTCGTAGAAAAATAAGTCTGTATTATAGAATGAAACCAAAGATCAAACACTGTTTTCAGGTCCAAAACATGGGAATAGAGCAGCTGCGAGAGAATTCAACATTAATGAATCAATGGTACGGAAGTAGGGGAAGCAAGGAGAATGAGTTGAGTAAAATTTGACGTATCTGACTGTTTTGTTTCGCTTAATGTGCTTCATAATGCGACGTGCCTTATGGTCCGAAAAATACGGTAACTTCTATCTTCCTTTAGCGTGTCCAGAAGTCCAACTTTTTGTGCGACGGTTAGCATCGTCCTCTGCCTTTTGGGTGCTACCGCAGGTGTCTTTGATGGTGCAAAACATTTCGTCGACATTGTTGTGTTTGTTGGGGAGAAAACTTACACAGATACAGCACTTCAGAGTCACATTGCTAGCGATCGAAGATTTATGTAAATTTGACAACTTTGACACAACGTAACTCTAGCTATAGTTGAATCATTTAGTTTGTAAAAAACCCCAACAGAATAACATACTCAGTTTCCTACAGCTCAGTTTAACGTCCTCAAATCTTTTGTGCAAACTGTCTAACAGGCAATTTCTTGTTTCTTGAATGAAACAAGTAGACTACTTGGTAACATTTAGACATCTTAGTGTGAACTCTACACCTTGTCTCTCAATCTCTGTCTCTTTATCTGTACCTCACTTTGCCTGCTGTCAACCTCCCTCTCAAATCCTTCTGCAGTGACAGTACCGTCACTTCAGATGACCTCCTGGCTTGGCTGCGTCCATTCTGCGGTGACGCGTCTCTGCCCGTTCGGCCTCGCATCGACGTGCTGCAAATTCTGGAGAGTAACTTCAGCCTCGGAGACAGTGACGTTCGTCTTCTGCTGCTTTACAGGACTCAGGCTGTTCTCAGGGACAGAGAGGTAATGTTACTGATGCTCTCACACGTGTTTGAAGTTATGAAGATTTAACCCTCATGCTAACAAAGTGAGAAATATACTTTACTTGACAAACAAAGTGCTCTACAGAAGCACATGGAAAACTATCTACAGATGGGTAGAGAGGTCTGAATTTCCTGTTGTCCATGCTTGTACAAAAGAAAATAGAAGCAGAGAAGATAAAAAGGAAAATGGAAAGAGAAGAGAATCATTAGTGTGAAGACATACAAAAACGAATGTGTTAATTTTAATAGCACCATCAAAAAATAGTATTAAATGGTTGTGATCATACAAAAAAACTTGAATATAATATCTCTGGGATTATTCTCGTTTATGATGGACTCCAGACAGTTGGAAAAATCCACAGTCTCCAACCTAAAGACCACAGGGAGTCGTTTTCAGTGGGCACATGGCATGGATAACTTGCACAGCTTCATATCCAAGTTTTGGAGCAATACACTGTCGTCCAGAAAACTGTCTTGCTCATTTCAGCAATGCTCTGCTAGACAACATTTTGCATTTTGCAAATCATTAAATTATATTTTTAATTACATTTGACACAACTTTGTTTTCTCTCTTTTTAAAAAAAACCAAACAAAAACAAAACAGGATGTCACATTTAGTGTAAAATAAAGTAGCTCCATTCTAAAAGATGTCAGTGTAGGAAAAGTGCCTCAGTTTCTTGACAACATGAACACATGTTAGTGGAATCTACTTAACTTTGAATGTGTGGAAACAAGTTCTTAGATGTAATTAGAGATAAAAACTATGAGTCTGAAGCTTGTAACCCACAGTGGGTTTTGCACAAGCTCCTACAACCAGGTGTTAAAAATCATACTAAGGGATAAATGTTTAGATTTGAAATAACTGCATAAATATATGTGAGTATTACTAATCCGTATGTGTCATTTGCATATTTGCAGTAGTATGTAACATATGTATGTATGTGTGTGGCTGTGGCTCTCTCCTCCTCCCTCCCTGGTGTAGCAGACAGCTGACTGGCTAGTCACTAAGTTATTTGACTGACTAATTAATGGCCCAAGCTGGATAATTAGTGTGTAAATGTATGCAGGCAGCCTTGGGCCATTGTCAGCGCAGGTAGACAGGTGTGTGGGCCCGGACTCTTTAACTAATTAGGTGAACTCCTAACATTTGGCAGGTTCTGATGAAATATACACACACACACACACACACACACACATACACACACACACACACACACACACACACACACACACACACACACACACAC